TTGTCTTCCTCACTTGAAGATCATTTTCTTCCAGGTAGTGATACAGATGTTTATACAGAACATAAAAAATAACAGATCCTTTGGAAAGCTGTGAACTGATGGTTGGTAAAAGAGGATGAATGTCAACGACAATGAATCTGTTAGGGAAGCAGGAGCTGGGCAAAGGAGACAGTGGAGAAATAGAAATGGGTGCCACTTTAGAGCTTGCACGGTGTTCCAGGGAGAACAAGGCGATGCTTGGAGGAAGAGAAGCTAATTCAAGGGAAGACAAAGTCTTAAAAACAAGTGTTAAGAAGTTAAGAAGATAAGGTTTTGCTGTTGATCAGAGCATGGTTGGAAGAATGGGTGGAAAGAGGGCTAATGGATAACATGGTGGCCTGACATTTAAATGGTATGATGACCTAACAAGCCAGTGCAGGCCTGGTCTGTAAAGGAAGAGACAGTGCTCAAAATTTAAGGGAGAGAAATACAGGAGCTTGTGGGGAAGGGGAGCTATGATTTTGGTATTTTGTTCCACCATGACCTCATTTCATCATTTGATCTCTGGGAACTGTGGGTGGGGCTCTCATTTAGTAATACCAGTTAGGCTATAAATTTCTTCTTCTTCTTCTTCTTCTTCTTCTTCTTCTTCTTCTTCTTCTTCCTCTTCCTCTTCCTCTTCCTCTTCCTCTTCTTCTACCAAAATATCAGGTACTCTATTTTCTTTGCCAAGTCACATTACAGATTAATCAATGTTTATTTTTGTTAATATTATTGAAAAAGGTTCAAAACTCTAAGAGATAGATATGAACAAGAAGTGCCTCAGATCTGACATTTTCCTCTCAGAAAGCCACATATCCTAAGTAGCTCTTGTTGGTGCTTGTTGCCTTGTTCTCTGCTGATGAGATTTTTGTACTTGAGGCTGCGGTGAGCAGACTTACAGGCCTACTCTATCTCAAGGTAAGAGAGATCAGCCCTCTATACACCTCTGTAGACATAGGCTTCTCATTGCCTTTCTTTTTTGAGGTGACCCACTTTTTTTATATTTGGGATGAAAAATAATGATTAATTTCAATGATCACTTTAAAATTATTTAATAGATAAGGAACTACAGGCAACCAATGCAAAAGTGCAAAAATAGTCCTCCTCAAGGGTAAGCCCCCTAAAATTGGTTATCAATATTAAAGGGTCAGCCTACATATATCTACATATCATATACCTACAAGTAACACTTCTTGGATTGAGCAGGTTGTATTTATATATTTAGGCATCTATAACTATAACACCTAAAGAAATCAAGAGGCTCTTGTTTTAAAAAGGGAGCCAAAGGAGACTGTATAGAGGAGGGGTGAGGGAAAATGATATAAATATATTTTAATTAAAGATGAAAGAAATCTTTTTCTTACCTCAGTCCACAAAGATTTCCTTCTGGAAATATTTTCTTCTAGAAGTGGTTTTTCTAGGAGTGTTATAGTTTTAGTTCTTAAATTGAGGTCTACAGTCTATTTCAAGGCAATTTTTATGTATGATGTGAAGAATAAATGAGGTTAATTTATTTTATGCACATCTTCATTTGCTCCAGTACAATTTAGACACAATCTTTTCTCTCTTTGGATTACTTTGGGCTGAGAAAGGAATTGGTTTATTATAGGAATAAAGAGGAAGTCAGTGTGGCCTGAATACAGGAGGGGAGGAAAGGAGTGCCGGTTGCTGATGCTGGAGAAGAAGCTAGGACCCAAACCATAAACACATTAGGAACCTTGAAAAGAAAATTGCATTGTATTCTAATAATTTAATTGCTTCAAGTATTTTAAGCAGAATAGTTTACCTTTTTTTAAGTGTAAAGATTGCTTTCTTTTTTCTATCTTTGGTTTTTCAAGACAAGGTTTCTCTGCATAGCCCTGGCTGTTCTGGAACTAGCTCTGTAGACTAGGCTAGCCTTGAACTCACAGAGATCCACCTGCCTCTGCTTCCTGAGTGCTGAGGTTAAAGGTGTGTGCCACCACCACCACTGTCCAGCCTAAAGATGTGTTTAACAAATCTTATAAACTCACTTTGATAGTTACCATACAATTATTTTAAAAAGTATTATGCTTGTGTATTTGCACATGCATGATGTCTATGTGGGCACAAGTGCCATGATGCGTATGTAGAGGTTAGAAGACAATATTGTTGAGTCATTTCTCTTCTACTTTTGTGTAGGCTTCAGGGATTGAATTCAGGTCACCAGGTTTTCCCGGTAAGTGCCTTTACCTGCTGAGTCACTTAACCAGCCCCAGCTATTACCATAATTTATAGTTTTTGGGTATCAAAAGTGGGCTTTACACCTTTAATGGAATCATTAAAAAGCCGTCTGACACATAAACTGTCCTGATGACATGATATAAAGGTTACAGAACATTTTATTCTTTGCTCCTTCACTATGTCAGATGAACAAAAATATTTTTCAGAAGAACATTGCCCAAGCTTTACTACACAGCATTTTTTCAAGATACTCTAGAACAGTGTTTCTCAACCCATGGGTCATGACCCCTCTCAACCCATGAATGACCCTTTCACCAGTGTTACATATCAGATATTTATACTATAATTCATAACAGTAGCAAATTAGAGTTATGAAGTAGCCATGGAAATAATTTTATGGTTGGGGATTGCCACAACATGTAGAACTCTATTAAGGGATCACAGCATTAGGAAGGCTGAGAACCACTGCTCTAGAAGGTCATTCTTCTCAAGAAGTAAAAGGCACTGTGGTTTGTAATGACCTTGGTATGTATGATTTGCTTCGCAGGATGGCTCAAGATTCCTTTCCCTAACCATTCAACTCCCTGTAGTGTTTTGCATTTGTGAAGGCGAGTATCATCAGGACTTGGCTCTTTGAGTTGCTTTCCTAACATAAAAGGCACAAGTGGGAAAGCTAGTACTTGCACTTGGGGATGAAATCTGAGAGATAGCGTTGCGCTGGGGGTGTTCACATCCTTGCGGGAGGATGGGCTAAGCTGTTACTTGGAGTTATTTTTCTTCTGGAATGTGGACTACGTTTAAGGTAGCTGGAGACTTTTTGCAGTGAGTGCCATTGCATCTGTTTAAGGCTTAAAACGGTAAAATGAGCTGCGGTTGAAATTTCAGGCAGAATTAAAAAGGCATATGTGAAAAGCAGAACTTGGGGGAGGTGTTAGACACATTTTCAGGTTGGACTTACCCCAAATAAATATAAAAACATACTACCTATCAGAAGAAATTTCACCCAAATTTGAATTTCACCCAAATACACATTTGGGTGATAATTAAACCTTAATAATTAAAGAAAACAGATCCATATTCTGTATTAACTATTTCAGCGATCCACATCATGTGTTAATCAATAAGGTTGTAGAAGAATAAACTGAAGGATGCCTGAGACTGAGCAGCCATGGATATTTACAAATTGAGATTTATGTCACAAGAGACAGTGAGCCATTTAACAATGGTAGGAAGACATTTCCAGGCAAGGTAAATGAAAAGGCATCAAAGTAAAAGGAAGATTGGCTAATTCGAGGATCAAGGAGGAGGCCAGCAAGAGCGGAGCAGGAGTTGTGGCAGGGAATGAGGTGCAGATAATGCGATAGTTCCTATAACAGGATGGGGAATGTAGCATCCCACTGAGAAGTCATTATTTTGGGACACAACACTATGATGGCTGGTGAACTGTGGATTAGAGGAAGGCAAGAGAAGGGGGATTAAGAAACAGACTGTAGGCAGGCTGGGGCAGTTGACCAGGACTGTGGTTTGGTGATAGGGATGGGGAAGAATGGGTACACTCAGGAGCAGCTGGGAGGAAGAGGGTATGATGGAGGAAGCCAGGTCAACCAGCAGATGTGATTGCTTCTAGGTCCACGTGGAAAAGCGTCATTTCCACAGGAGCTGCTGTTTGCACTCAGGGTGCAAGGATTTTAACTTCACAAAGCCACTAACTACTGTGTGTCTTTCTAAGCCAGAGGACCTGGCTGACCGTTGGCTTCTGATCTCTTGAGATCTTTCCAGAATCAGCATGCTGCATTTTTCCACACTCTTTTTTTTCTGGGATTCTTGGGTACCAGAGACAACGGGAAGGAGGAGTTCTGTGGATGGCTAAGTTTGCTCGGAGTTAAAAGTTGAGGCAGGGCACACACCATTCTTAGATGGCTTCACAGTTCTAAGCAAAGGGACCTGGAAGCTTAGTGTTTATTGTGGCAAGGGCAAAGAACTGGGCACAGAAGAGCTATCCTTCCACACTTCCAGTGGCTATGAGCTACATTCCTTCAATTTCAGTTTTACAAAACAAAGCTAGAGGTTCAGAGAGTTTAAGAATATATTACTTTAGTTTTAGTCATGTTTATATGTGTAGGTACCTGCGGGGGTGGTGCTGGGAATCGAACTCAGGCCTTTCAAAGCCATTGAACGATCTATCAGCCCCCTCAGTGAGGTCCACTCCGTTCTAAGGCACACAGTTCCGAAGTGCTGAGCCAGGACTGGAACCAGTGTCGGGTTCTTTGGCTCCTGCTCAGCTCTTGAGCTGGGTTATTCTCCTTTCCAGGTTATTAATATCAGTTTCCACAGAGTCCCTGGTGCGGGAGGACACAGTCTCCCTTTGTCTAGTATGCCGATTGTCTCCCTCACCCGCCTAGCTTGCCTAGGATTGTGCTCAGCAAAGGAGCCTGCTGGAGGAAAAGGATTTGGGGATGAGAGAAGCAAGGTAGAGCCTAAAAGCAAGACTGTGGCGCATCCACCACCTCTAAGCTAAGGGAAGCAACTCTTCTGCCTGTTCATTGCCCCGAAGGCATTTTCCATTTCACAGGCCCTCCCGCTTCCAATCCCTCGCCTTTTACCCCTCAGTTTCAGCTCTGCCCCCTCAGGGAGCGTCCTTGGCCGCGGGGCTGACAGCATTTGGGGCACGGGGTCTTGTTCTCTGCGCTCTATCCCATCTGTGCGCAGAGCCTCGTTCCCGGGCTCCCGGAGCCCGGCGGGCATTGACGTCAAACGGCAGCGGAGCGCTGCCTACAGACGGCTGACCCGGGCCCTCCTCCACACCCCCGTCCTTCCTCGCCCCCTCCCTCTTCCCGGCACCGGGTTCAGCCGGCTATAAGAAGCAGGAGAGCGCGGTGCCCCAGCAACGACTAGGTCCAGCACCATGGAGAGCTCCCGCCTGCGGCTGCTGCCCCTCCTGGGCGCCGCCCTGCTGCTACTGCTACCTTTGCTGGGTGTCCGTGCCCAGGAGGATGCCGAGCTGCAGCCCCGAGCCCTGGACATCTACTCTGCCGTGGACGATGCGTCCCATGAAAAGGAGCTGGTCAGTATTCCCCTTGCTTCGGGATCCCCCTGGGCTGCCGCGGGGCCCTTCCTTTGCATGCGTCCCTCCTTCGCTCCTGTCCCATCAGGAGGGCTGAGTCCCTGGCGCCCTGTTTAAAAAATAAAGTCCTGGTACTCGCTATCAGACAAAGATATTTGAGTCCACGGGCTACGGGTTGCATGTCGAGCGAATCCCTGGTTGTGACTGTTCTGGGCACTGTGCACCTTGGAGGCTCTGGGGGTGAGGTCAGGACTAGGGACTTCGCCCGCAGGGCTTCCTCTCCATCACCATCTATCCCCTACTCCACCCCCTACTTGTCCGTCCTCCGAGTCCCGCCACCCTACGGTTGTGTGTCTTGTGTCTTGGGCTCCGTATAACTGAGCTGAAAGTGAGCACCTGCGCTGGGCTCGCAGCCAAGGCGGCAACTTCGGGCTCCCGGCGCTGTGTTGCAGATTGAAGCACTGCAGGAAGTCCTGAAGAAGCTCAAGAGTAAACGCATTCCGATCTATGAGAAGAAGTACGGCCAAGTCCCCATGGTAAGTCTCTGGGTCACCCTTCCCTTACTTTTCCAGGAGAAAGGACTGCCATCTTACACAGGGTCTTTACTCTAGCAGGTGGCGGAGCAGCTCAGGTGATGCTTTGCTTCTGCTCTCGCCCTTTGTTCCCTGGTCCCTAAGTGTAAGGGAACACAGGCTTGTAGAGCCAGAAAACAGTCCCGTGATGTGAGTGGGAGTATTTCCCGAAACATCGTAGTTGGATGAGCCCTTAAATCTACGCAGTTGTCCCTTAATTTCTCCTAGAGCATGGCGGGGCTTTTCTTTATCATTTCGTTGTTGTTTTGTTTCTTAAATTCCATAATAAAAAGTTTTCAGAACGGGTCACCTATGTGGGAACAGTTCTAGGTAAAATCTCTCTCTCTCCCTCCCTCTCTGTCTCTGTCTGTCTCTCTCTCTCTCTCTCTCTCTCTCTCTCTCTCACACACACACACACACACACACACACACACACACACATACCTGCTTTCCTTTGGGTGAGGAGGTGAGAAAGTAGAAACAAGGGTTTGGGAGAGTGTATTGTGCATTTCTTAGATGCAAGGGTCTAGGTAATTCTTCCCTCTTTAAATTTACAAGAAAAGGAAGCTGAAAATGCAGTTGCTCCCAAGGCAGAACAATGTAGGAGGGGAATCAACCATTTAATTTTCTTCCTTTAAATGTCCTCTTTCTGAAATTATAAGCCCGTGGCTTCAGGCTCTCCGGGCTTCGGATCTGACTGTACTTAGAGGTGATGGTAGCGGTCTAGCCGTTCTTCTCAAGAGACCGCTCCTTTGGGACCCGTATAACCACCGGTTGTGTTGTTGACAGTGTGACGCCGGAGAGCAGTGCGCAGTGCGGAAAGGGGCCAGGATCGGAAAGCTGTGTGACTGTCCCCGAGGAACTTCCTGCAACTCCTTCCTCTTGAAGTGCTTATGAAGGGTCAACAGCCTCCACCTTACGTTCCCACACCCCTTCTTTTCCCCACAGGATCACTCTTTTACCCTGGAACCTGGCTTTAGCAACAATAAAGTCTGCAACCCCCTCCGAGGGTGAATGGCCTCTCTCTCTGCTGTTTCAAAATAAAAGAACGCATTTGACGTTACTGTGTGAAGGATAATGCCTTGCGTGGTGTGCAGAGTATTCTTTTCTCGTTTTATTCATCTGACACTTTCTTGAGAACCTTTCTGGAGAGAAGAGGAACTTTGCTTTAAATCTGCATTTTTGTATGTGGCATGTCAGAATGAAAATTAGATCTAGTTAATTTTGGTAGATGACATCACACCCTGGCAAATAAATTACCCTAAGCAACACAAATTGAAGCATGTGCAAATTACACATAATAAAGCATTTTTAATAATTGCTTACAGAGCATGGCTGTTTCTCCATAAGTAATCTAAGTAGGAATAATGGGATTAATCATGCTGTTGTTTTCAAAGAGAAATATTTTAAAAATAGCTGTCTATTGGGAGAGCAGCACCTCAGCTCCAATGAGTTTTGATCATTAATTAGGAGGATGGATGGTACACCAGCTTCAGTATGCTCTGCTCTCTGACTACAGTGGCGTGGTGAAGGTGGGAGTGTGTGTGTGAGACAGAGAGAGAGAGACAGAGACAGAGAGACCGAGAGAGACACAGAGACAGAGAGACTGAGAGAGACAGAGACAGAGACTGAGAGAGACAGAGACAGAGAGACTGAGAGAGACACAGAGACAGAGAGACCGAGAGAGACAGAGACAGAGAGATTGAGAGAGACACAGAGACAGAGAGACTGAGAGAGACAGAGACAGAGAGATTGAGAGAGACAGAGACAGAGAGACTGAGAAAGACAGAGATAGAGAGACTGAGAGAGAGACAGAGAGAGAGACTGAGAGAGACACAGAGACAGAGAGACCGAGAGAGACAGAGAGACCGAGAGAGACAGAGACAGAGAGACTGAGAAAGACAGAGACAGAGAGACTGAGAGAGAGACAGAGAGAGACAGAGAGAGAGAGAGAGAGAGTCTGAAAGACAGGCGGGGGTAAAGACCATTGGACTTGGGACAATAGCATCTGTGGTTATTGCTGCACTATTCACAACAGCCAGGAAATGGAATCAACCTAGGTGTACACCAACAAAAGAATGAATGAAGGCTATATGGTACAGACACAATGGGATCTTACGCAGTCATAAAGATAAATGAAATGATATTTGCAGGAAAATGGATGGAACTGGAAACCGTTATGTTAAGCGAAACAAGCCAGACTTAGAAAGATGAATGCCACATGTATTCTCTTATACAGGGAACCTATTTTTAAAGGTGTGTGTGTGTGTATGTGTGTGTGTGTGTGTGTGTGTGTGTGTATAAACCAATAAGTCCTATCTCTATATAAGGACCCTGCTTTAAAGGAAACAAATGGCTTATTCTGAGCCATATCCAAGTGGCTATGTTCTGGGAACATGTATTGAAGCTACTTTGGATGGTGTTCTCTAAAATGAAAGAATATATATATATATATATATATATATATATATATATATATATATACTTTTATATCCACAGAACAAAGGATATCATAAATCAATACATTCAGCAAGTACATTTGTGGGGGCTATAGGTAGGCGCGCAGCAGCACAGTGAGGAAATGTACTGCATAGATTTCAGCTGCTATCAAATATCTTTAGCTTTAGGGTTGGTCATGGTTAGAGGCCTACCAAGCTTAACGACAAATTCCAAGGGGTTACCTGACAGTCACCAGGATGTTAAGCCATCGGCAAAGGCTAAACATAAGAGTTTGCCCCAAGAGACAGTGATGTTACCTATCCATGGACTCCACACTGTTTAGTAGCATGTGCGTGGTGCGTTTAATAGAGTATTCAATCAGAAAGCCAAGCGGCTACTTTTCTTAAGGATAGCCCAAGACGATTTTGACAGTGTGTACAATATTTAATCTTTCACTATCACAATGCTCTATTCAACAACCGCCTGACAACTTGGGTGTCTTTAGCGGTATGGCTTCTGAAGAGAAATTCGACATCACAGACCAGTAAACAATTCTTTTATGCCTTAGCCATATCAAAACCAAAATGAAAAATCAGAACTGTGGTTTGGGCAACTCTTTTCTTTTTGAGGCAGGGTGTCCTGTAATGCAGTCTTGTCTCAAGACTGTTCTGTAGCTGGGGATGGCCTTGAACCTTTGTCTTTCCTATTTCTGCCTGGCCTGGGATTACAGGCATGTGCCACCACAGTTTGCTTATATGGTACTGAGGAATTAAACCGAGGGCTTGATGTGTGTTAGGCAAGCTCAAACACTCTAACAACTGACCTACATCCCAATCCTGACAGCTCCTTTATTGGACAGTATACACGGATTTTTAAAAATGGATCCTTTGGAGGTTGTGCTTTGTAACAATGGGGGGTTATTGCATCGGATACTTGAAGACCGTAAGACTAATTCACTTTTGTGGGCAATATACCTATGGAATAACCGTCTGTCCAAGAAAAAAATGTCACTTAGACCTTAGTTTTTAGAGAAACAAGGGGAAATTGGTAAGGGCAATTTCAATTCAAGAAATTAAAAAGAAAGCTAAGTGTTATATTTCATAACTTTTGAACATGGTTCTGTGCTGGCCTGAGGACACAGCTCCAAAAGTTAAACAAGATTAAGAAACACACACAGTCTCTCTCTCTCTCTCTCTCTCTCTCTCTCTCTCTCTCTCTCTCTCCTGTAGCCCAAGCTGGCCCTTAACTCCCTAAGTAGTTTGAAGCAGTCCTTGAATCCTGGGTGCTCTTGCCTCCACCTCCTGGGTGCTGAGATCAAAGCATACATCACCACTGATGAGGTGAGCGACTTGTAAGCCACAGCACAGTGAGAGGAGCGGTTGCTAAGAGCTTCCTAATCCAAGCTCAAGAGGCGCAGGCAGAATAGCAGAACTGAAAGGAAGGCTTCTTTGCAGAGTTACAGAGAGACGGAGAGCGCAGGTAGGAAGCAGCCTTGTGTACAGTGGCCATCTGCCCCCGTCACATCCTTATTGTTTTCATTAACATGCCTAATCTAATTAATCCTCTAAGCAGATATAGTTACCGGCTTTCAAAGTACAAAACAGAAGCCAAGAGAGATTGTGGAATTTTCCTTTCATGTCACTCTTGGTATCAACAGGTTATTGGTTTCACAAAAAAGAACTTTGTTTGGTAGAAATTGGCTCAGCGGGGGCCAGTGTGTGACTTAGAAGATCCAGTGCCTTTAGATTCCCCCTGTGCTGGACTCTTTGTGATTATAACTTGGCGTGTTTTAACCCTGAAGCACTACAAACAGTCAGTATTTTCACAATCTGCTACATTCCCAGAAATCATTTCAGTTCAAACCCTAACTTTCTCAATTCCCTTACGGGTACCTACTCATGCCAATGCTAAGTCTGCAGATGACATTAGCTTTAGTCACTGATAAGTGCTCAGGCTGAGCTCCTGGGGACAATGACACTGAGAACTGCCCAGAAGCAAGGGATCCTGGAGGAATGTCAAGTTTAAAGAAGGGGATACAAAGTGCTTCAAAGACTTGAACTCGTTCCCTTCACTTCCAGCTCTGTGGCGTCATCCCTTGTTCTTGTTTAATAAGATGAGATGGAAAATCCTGGTGGTCAACTCAGCACATCTGGGAACAGGGAGCTTGGATTGGGGCAGAGCTTCCATTAGATTGGCCTGGGGGCAGTTCCTTTATTTCCAATTGGTGTTAGAGGACTCAGCATACTATCCCAATCCAACACTGAAGGAAGGGTAAGATGAAATAAAACCCTTTCCTCAGCAACTTGCTTTCTGCCAGACAGCAACAGAAAGAGTAAAGATTATTGAAAACACTAGGAGCAGTTGATTATCCAGACCTTGTAGGTTGGATGTGAAAAGTCTTTTTCCAAACATTTTATCTGGGTGCCCAGCTTTCAAACTCATGGTGTGGGTGACATTTTATGTGGGTGAAAAGCATCATTTAATTATAAATTACTTGTTAAAAGTAACTTTACCTTTCTATTTTATTCATTTTATAATTCCTCTTCAAATAGAAGATGTCATTGTGTTTCATTATTGAAAGTCTCTGTGATACAAGAAAAGAAGACTGAAGATTAAGAAAGGTTTAATAAGAAAGGGAGTCACCCACAAATGAGGCCCAGGGAGCGCATGAGATTGGCTGGTAGCAGGTCTGGCTGGTGATGATAAGAAGCTTCAGTAGAAGAGATGAGGGTGCTATAAGGCGGAGGGTTGACGCACCCAAAGCAGTGGGCCTCACAACAAGTAATGTATTGAAGCTCCTGGGAACTTTCCCTTTTGGTGATTTCTCTGTTTCCCACAGTAATTATAGTTATCACATGTCTTACTCTGTGCCAGAATCTGGAGGGCTGTGTGGGGCACATTGTGAACCCATGGACCTCTGCCCCTTTCCAATCTTGATATGATACATTGGCACCCCTAGTTTTGGGACTGAAGTTTGGAAAGGGAGTTTGGGTTCTTTAGTTGTTCATTTACTGAGAGACTGGCCTTGAACTCAAGATCTTTCTGCCTTGGCTTCCTGAAAGCCAAGGTGGTAAGCATGGGCACAACACCCCGCTAAACCTGTGCAGTTTAAATAAGTTCTTTGGGTCGAGTTTTGCTGTGCTTCCAGAAGCCTCTGGAACGCTGTCTGGAGGCTGCTTGTATATAGCTCATTTCTTCAATCCTTCCGCTTCTCTGCTCTCATGTAGGAGGTGCTGGGAGCATAATGGAGAACAAAACAGACAGTCCCCGTCTTCACAGAGCTTATAACCCAGTGGTGAGAACAAATACAACATCGGTAGCAGCAGCAGCAGCAGCAGCAGCAGCAACAACAACAACAACAACACCCCAAAGGCCACCACATGAGAATTTTCCCAAAGATCATAGTGGGAGCAAATGGCGCTGTCTGCTCTCAGAATAGAAAGAGAAGGACCCAGACAAGATCAAGACAAAGGGCTAGGGGAATCAGAAAGGGAGAGGGCTCCAGCCAGTGGGAGGGATGCTCAAAAGTTCAAAGGTGACAGAGACGGTGACAAAAGAAACCAGTGACAAAA